TCTGCTTACCCCCAGGGCATCCAAGATGTAGACACGGCATCCGGTGCGTGAGGTGTGTACGCTAGTAATAGCAATAACAGGTCAAGTGTTGACGAAAAAAATGTGTCTGACTATTTCTTCAAAATGGAACATTTTGTTGGTTTTATTGTTTTTCCAAATACAGCTATTTTGTTAGCGACCATTTGATGCATAATGCTGTTATCCCAGTATAAAAAACATACATGTATTCAAATTTGAGAAATATTAGGATAATTATGAATTCTCCATGTTCTCCTATTATATCTGAGAATGAAGCACTTGAACGTGACATGCTCGTAATTATGAATTCAGAAGTAGGAGGTGGAATGTTTTTGATGTCACAACATTAGACTCAGATCTGCAGGCACAGTAGTTGTGCTCATTGTGCTGTCCAGAAAGTTCAGCCACTAGCCTTCCTCTGAGGTTTTCACCACTCCAGTGTACCTCTGGTTCATCCACCGTCTCACTGTCGTCATTTAGTGTTTCTTCAGTCAGCTATAGATCAGCATTGAAGGGATAGTTGACCAACAAATGGAAATTATCTCATCATTAACTCACCCTCATACCACCCCAGAAGTGTATGACTTTTTTCTGCTGAACACAAAGATTTCTTATTTGTGTTTTTCAAGGTTTTATGCAATTTTTTCTTCATAATTTCCTACTTAACCTCAACAGTGTCTTTATTGTCTATGCAGATATTGTGAAGAGCACAGCAACAAGCTGATGGTGGGGGCAAAGTCATGAATAATGGCTTTAAAGAATATTGAGCGCCACCTGGACTTCATGGGCCTGTTTACACCTGGTCATTTCATGTGTTTTCGCTGATCGGATATCTATCTGATTTGTTAAAACGTTTCCATTTACACTTGGCCACATTAATGTGTTGTCGCAAAACGGATTTAAATCCGATCTTCAATCCCAGCGCTATATTTAAATTTAACGGAGTTCATATCAACGAAATCAAAAGATAAGTGCTGCATTTTATTAATTATCAGCTAATTTCAAGATCAAAGACCGCAGTAGGAGAGCGCGTGGAAAGATACGTTTGTCTTACTACTTTTAATGAAGATGATTGTGTGTTGAGTGTCTGCGTCTTACTTTGCGGCAGTTTGCGCGTCAGCTTGCTGAAGAGATACTCAGCTACTCGTCCTCAGCGATGCGTGTTGCATTAGCGCAGTCATATCTGACTATAATGTCATATAGTCTATAACACGCTCTCACACGTTTATTATTTTAACATTTTGAGAGGAGCAAAATTTGCATATGCGGTTTTAACAACCAGATGCATTTACACTGGTCCAGTTTCGTCTGGAATGCGGCCCAGACCACCTCCTGAAGTGGTTTGAGCGATCGGATTTATATCCGTCTCGAATGCATTTCGGAGGGCATTTACACCTGGTCTTTACACGATCGGATAGCTATCCGATCAGACAAAACGCATGATAACAGAAAATTGTCTCGTGGAAGGTCTGTTGATTATAGTTATTATTTTCAAAACAAAAATTTGAACAGAAAATGTAAGTATTACAGGGTAGTGTGACAAAAAGTCTACCACTAAAACTACTAACCTTCCTTTCTCTGTCATTCACAGGTTCTCTGTATGGTGTTATTATAGTTACTGGCTGACTGAGGCATGGGAACCCACCATCAGCTAGAATGTAATAACCTTCTGCTGGATATTTTTGGTGGATGAAAAAGGGGCTATTTTTCAGCACCTGAGAGTCATGCGCAGACCCTGGATATCCCACAAAAATATCCAAAAATTTCATTTTGTGGTCACAAATGGTCTAAAGAGTAATGGAGTGGAATAGTATCCTCTTCAGGTAACATGCAGCGTCCTCACTTGGTGGCAGTGTTGCCAACTAATTTTCAGAGAAAGTTGCTAAAGGAAGGTCGATTTGTTGCTAAAAGTTGCTAAATGACGTTGTGATGCCATTGCTCAATGACGTCATTGTGTAATCATGACGCAAAATTGTCACTACATCAAATCTCAGCAAAAAATATATTTTATATGTGTTAATATAGATTTGTTTGTAAAATAATATGCATGATATAATATTAAAATATAAATAACTGTATTTTTTAAATACATTTAATCATTGAAAACTTACACATTTTTGAATGATTACAATTTAAGTTTTTTTAGTAGCTAGTAAACTAGTAATTCTACACACTCTCAACAATTATGCTTTAAGCAGTGTATTGGTAGTTAGTTAATATGCTACACTCTAAGAAAAGTCTGTAAAAATAATGCACAAACTACTATGTTAATATGAAATAATTTTCTGTAATGTTTTTTTTTACCTGCATTTTAAATTACACATTGTGTTTTTGGGTTACATGGTTACAATGGATGATGGATAATGTCCTGAAAGATTTTCAATTTTTCTTACAGTATACTAACTGATCAACAATCGCAGGTACAAGCTACTAACAAAGTTGGTGGTTTAAAAAAAGTGTATTTTGAAGAGGATGCTTAAAAAGATCACTCATAAATTAAAATGTGTTCAAATTTAAGTTGTCCCAATACTTAAGGTGTTTATTTAACTGTGTAATTCTAAAGGGCAATCACAGAATTTTGGAACAGACATTCAGCTTAACATCTTTTGTGCCCCATGGAGCAACAACATGAGAGTAAGTGATACATTCCAATCCTGTTATATTTACAGAATTTGTTTTAATTATAGGACAGTGAGATGAATTGTAAATCTGCATATATGACTCTTCATTGTTGATTGGTTGGAACAATGATAATTCTACAGAACAAGCTGAAGGCCCACCTGACATCCATCATTGCAGCCAACAGCATTTTGGGAAACTCCGGAACCAGCAAGATCAGCAAAACCTTAGCCAATGATAGGAAGATCCTATGGTTGTGGAAAGGCAATTACTCTGCCAAGCATTTCTAATATTGCCTACTATATTGAAATTTATATTAATTGAAAAGAAAATGATTAATATTTATGTCCACGTAGCCATATGTTATAAATAAACTTTAAATACCAATAAACCATCAAATGTTTGTATTCTGTAGGGTAAACACGATTTGTGCACTGTTAATAGTTACAGTTTTGTTTTAATATACATATTTAATTGAGTTTGAGAGATTGCATTTGTAACAAAATATGCATGTTCCTGCCATACCTTAGAGAGCTATCGTGGAATGTAATTGCAACAATATAAAATTTTTAACACAAATAAAGTGGTTATATTGTGAATATAGATTTTATTTAACATGTACAATTTTATTAAATAACAAAAAAAACAAATACATATTTTGTTATATTTAAGAAAGAAGTTGTGTCCCCCAAATTCATGTCTGTGGTGTTACAACAATGTATGTCGCCCCTTAAGCTCGGGGCGTTTTTTGGTATTTTCGCCTAAATTTAACATACTCAAATTCAAATGTTTACCCTGCACACATACAATGGAGGAAATGAAAAAAAATGGTTTCATTGTAAAGAAAACCCTTTGAACTACAAAATATGAGTGTAATTCTTTATAAATAACATTATATACTTTTCAAATATTACTATAAACACAAAAAAAACATAGGCGCTTTTAGGAAGGCTATGTAAATGAAGCATAAACATTTTTAACGTCGTTTTAAACAGAATTTAACTGGTTTTAAGAAAAGGGGCAATTCTATTTGGATTACTTCCTGTGTGTAAAGGTCACTGCAGCTGCTGGTTGATCTGAGGGGTGCATGGGGAGTGCATTCTTTCTTATTAATTTTCTTAAAGTTAGCTAAATTTCTGACAATTTCATGTGTCGCACTTTATTAGTGTCTGTGGTGTTATGTTGATAACTTGCAGATCTGACATATTTTAAGCAAAATTTGGATAAATACATACTTATTAATATTTCCAAAATGTCCCCTGAACTTGAAATCATCATGATGGCAGCCTCCATATTAGAAAAGTCTGGATTTAGGCTGATTTGTCTGGTGTCACTGTCTTTCCTGGTAACACCACTAACCCTATGAAGTCTGTGGTGTTACAATACAATGTTTTTAGAGTATAAAGTGTCTTAATCTTTTAGAATAAAGACTATAAAGCTACCACAGACCATTTTTGCTGTCTTTTTTTTTAAATGTATATCCAATAAAAAAATTTAAAAAATAAACTATTCTCCTTTGGCAGAAATAGGGGCCAGATGAACAATTAGGGGACGTTCACATATAGTGTCTTTTGCGCGCTCAAGTTTGTTATTTCAAATGTAGACGCGCGGCAGGCGCGCTCATAATGGAAGCGACGTGGTCATTTTTTCCAGGCGCTTGCGCGCCGCATCGAGATAAAAACATTTCAACTTTTCAGAATGCCGCAAGTGCACCGCGGGTCATGTGACAAGAACCAACCAATCAGCTTCATCCTTTCCCGTAACAACATTGAAAGCTCAGCCAAGATGAAGGAACAGCTGATCATAGCTGTACAGGGATGGCCATTTTAAAATAAATTTAGTAGCAGAGCTACTGCAAGCGATTTTTAGTGCTGCAAATCCATTTATTCTTTGCTGAAACGTCCGCGTCTTCAAGGAGAGCACAGGTCATGGCTGCTTAGCAACGGCAGACGCCTCCGAATGCTTTGGAAAAAAGCAGAAAGCGGCGCGCCTAGTGTTTTCCACACGTTTTTAGGCGCGACATGTGAACAGCCCCTTAAACATTTATTTTAAAAACTGAAATTTAAATGATCAATGAACCTGAATCCTTAAAGTAATTAATTAATTAATTAATTATTACCTAAAGTTGCATGCCCCTGCTCATTTTAGAACAAACCAAAATACAGTTACAGCCTACATGATGTTTAACATAAATACGTAATTTTTCAGTAAACGTGATTTGCTTCTGTTGTTATTTAGTATCTAACAGACACTTACAATGACATTTACACACTCTTGTACAGTAGGTGGCGGTATGCAGCTAAAAGTTGTTTGCAATCCGCCATTAACCAAGAGAAGAAGAAACGGGACTTTTATTTTGGTCTGGCGATGTGACGTCATAAAGCTGCGCCGCGCTCCTGCATTTCTTGTGATTCGGCTGAAGAAAGGTTTGTGCTCAAGTTTTGAAATCAATGCAAAATGTTCTATCAACTTGCACGTTTTTACAAGCTACATTAAGTAAATGAATCAATCATAAATGTTGTATTACTTTTTTAACGTTATTTCTGTGAGTAAAGTGCATCCACATATTAGTAACAGAAAGAAGTGAGAGAAACCGAGAATTCGAATAATCTGAACCGAGTCATTTGTAAAAATGATTCAGTGATTCGAAGCGCTCGAATCAGCGCGAGCTGAAGACAAAACGAGAACAACAAACACAAACTGTGCAATGCCAACTTTTACAAACCAGCTGCAAAATGTTTTCATGGAAGTGTAATCTATTTAATATTATGTACAAATAATTGAATACCAAATATAAATCATAAATACCTAAATATTAACTTTATGTATAATTTGTATATTTTAATCAGGTCATTTAAGTCCATTAACTCTCAGAACTAGGGAGCTTATTGAGATGCACCCAGATATTTAGTTTGCATTTATTTTTTGAGAATAATTTAATTTCTGTTAATTATTCTCATGTTAAACAGGACAAAGAAAAAAAAAACTCCTGCTGAATCAACTGAGATCCACGTGACACACTATTATAAAGATGGCGTTTATTAAAGAGGAGAGTGAAGACGTGAAGATTGAAGAAGCATTCAGAGTCAAACATGAAGATACTGAGACACAAACAGGTTGGTTTTTATTCTCAAAGCTGAACTCACTCATCTGATCCTTATTCAAATGTCCAGCTCTACAGAAATGAGTGATATTTGTGAAGAATGTCATACGAGTGTAGTAATTAAAGTGTCATGAAACCCCAAAACACGAGATGTAAATGTATATCCATAACAGGTTGCACATCAGTGAAAAACAACAATAGCACTCATTATGTCTATTATTAAGGGGCTTTATGCAACACCTAATGGGTTTTAAGGGATACTTAAAGGTGACATATTATGCCCCTTTTTACAAGATGTAATATAAGTCTCTGGTGTCCCCAGAAGTTTCAGCTCAAAATACTCCACAGATCATTTATTATATAATTTTGAAAATGACTATTTTGAGTGGAAGCAGAAACACGCTGTTTTTCGGGTCTGTGTCTTTAAATGCAAATGAGCTGCTGCTCCCCGCCCCCTTTTCCAGATAGAGCTGTGCCATTACAGCTGTACCTGCTAAAAACATCTGTTTTGGTTGTGATTATCATGTTTATCGCGCTGAAATCATGCGTTTTAAACCATAT